TTATATATATGTTTTACTGTCAATGACGAAAATTGAACATTTACTTCATTAACCAGTCATTTATAAGCAAAGTTGCTAGGTTAATTTCGTAAGCTCTGAATGACGTCAGTTTCCAAGAGAGGTTGTAGTTGAAAATCACAAAACAAAATAAAACAATTTTATCACAAAGGCCGAATATTAACGTTATTAACCATTGGCTGTTGGTCAATTACGTAAATGACTGAAAATACACATTCATTTAATTAATTACCGACTACAGTTATTAATATTTGTCTTATTATTTTTTTACTATTAATTAAATAATATATTTATTATTATTTATTTTCACAAGGCATGCTGCTGTGAAATTTTGAGTTACACAATATTCCCGCTAATCAACAAGTGCATTTGTTTGTTCTGCACTTTAGTGACACTACTAAAACCTGCAGCTTCTCTCAGCGTAATTTATTTTTTGGCATTTACAGATTCAAATTGAACGAGACATTGTTTGCAGGGATCGATCCGCGATCGAGTATACTAATGTTTAAAAATGCCATTCTCTGTACCTAATAAAAGATAGTCATTTATTAATTCAAATAAATATTATATCTAAATTATCTTAATTAATATCTTGGTAATTTGTTAGATAACCACGGCTTCTTTAACTTGGCCATCGGCTATGTATTATTGTATTAATATTATTATGGTTTGCTCGAGAAACTATCGCTTATTATCGATGATATTCATAAATAATACATACTAATGTAGTAAAGTGTGTGGATAGATAACTGACAGTGACCCGTAGGTATGTTTTAAATATTTATAAATGTATTATTTACAACAACGTCCGACAAGAGTTGGGGATTGACGGGAATAATAAAATAATACTCGTGCAACACTGACCATTATGTGTAACCCACTTAAGTAAATTACCTGTCGTTTAAGTACATTTGTATTGCACAAGGTAATTTTCAACATTGTCCGAGCTTTAACGTAAATGTCATCATTTTCGTCATCGACCGTAACATAATATTATATACTTGATATTTTTGTTGTCGTTTTAACCAGGTAGCCGGTAATAAACCACCATAAACACAACATTATAATAATAATAATATGCAATCATGTTGACTCTATTCGAAATAAATCATATATGAAGTTGGGATTATTAAAACGTATGTGTAGTGATTTCAACGATAGTTCAGCTTTAAAAATATTATATTATTCCTTAGTACGCTCCCATATTGACTATGCCTCTTTAATTTGTCACTCTGATAGCATTTGTTGTTGGGTACACAGTCGGCATATCAAATTTCGCGCGGTCGTGGTTGATACGCGTATGTCGCAATGTTGTCACCCTGCCGCCCCGCCGCCGAGTAGTGTGGCAGCCCATGTGGCAGCGAACTTTGTACCCCCGGAGAGGGGACGGTATCGTTGCGGTATAGTCGCTGCTGGCTGTACCCGCCGCCATATTTTTCGTCGTTTTGGAGCCGTCTAGGCGATCGGTCATGTTTTTGAGTCGTCGTGCACATCCGCATTGTTTTACCGTCGCGAACCGGTGCTCCGTCGCCGTCATTACCGTCTTGTTCCGAGCCGTCGATGCTCTCGTGTTGCACCGTGCGTCGTCCCCACGATTTTTGTATCGTCTCGACCTCTCGTGTCGCGATACGGTTGTTTTGTTTTTTCGTCGCCCGTCCGATTCTCGCTGTGCGACCCCGACCGCGTGTTACCCTCGTTACCCACGTGTTTGTCGTTCGAGCCGCCCGTGCTCTTTGTCATGTCACGCCGTGCGTAGTGTCGACATTTTGGATTGCTCGACCGCCTGTGTCGTGATCCAACACAACTTTGTGTATTTTCGTCGCTCGCCCGACTCGCTGTGCGTTTCGAGCCCTGCTCGACTCTCACCCACGTGTTCCGCCCGCCCGTCCTACGCAGTGCGAACCGTGTTTTAAGTAACTTGTTGTCGTTTGTGCCGCGTCCCTACGCCGCGACAATTGATGTTTTTCGCGTGACCGTTTCGAAGTCTCCCCTTGAGCAGAAAAAAACGAGTTCGTGTCCGCGTCGCCCAATATTTGGTTTATACATCCGCTTCAACCGTTCGACCACCGGTCGTACGTTCGCAGTGTCGTCGACCTATTCGTCGACGTCGACGAGAGTGCAAAGTGCCGCCAGCCCCGATTGCCGCCCGCAGCTACTACAACGTCGCATTGGGTCAACTGGAGCGTCATCGTCGTGGTATCATCACCCGTCGTTATCACTTATCAGGTCGTACACACGTGATTTATTTGTCAACAAACATCACCTTTGTATTTGTAATTTGTATTAATTTTTTTTTCTCTTGATTTATTGTTTACGCGATCGTTTGTGATCGCGCACTACTGTTACCTACTAACCCTAGCTTAAGTAACGTTTACTGCAGAACATTACAATAAATTGTTCTGTACACCTTATAGCAAAAAAACATTGTTGTCTGTTAGAGTTACCTTATACTCATCATCATATTATTTTCAACCAGCTTCCTATTCATCATATTCTAAATACAGTCCACTTTTTATCCCTTCCCACAGGGCTATCGACCTAGGACGTAAGTATCGTCAAACAGAACGGGTTGCGTGTCGGCCGCCGTCCGTGCGCGCACTCACACACACGCACACTCGTCACCGGCTTTACGTGTGCAGCCATCATCCGCACATTGTTTGGTCCTTCGGGCCGGATGTTTCTGTGCGACTACTTCGTCACAATCATACGTCAATTTTGTAATTTCACCTGATCTCGTATTTCTGTCGTCATGGCACCGAAAAAAGAAGAAACTGCTGAAAACGCTCTCGCTCGAGCACGTGTCAAACGCGACAACGTTTTAAACTCCATCAAAGGTATTCACGTCACAGCTTTAGCCGCACGCTCTGATGCCGATCGAGTGCCGTCGTTAATTATTCACGCCGAAGATTTAAATCAATATGTCGAACAATTTCAACGTCAACAAGACGTTATAATTAACGCGTTAATCGATCTTGACCGTGTGGCCGAGTTTGATCAGGATGATCGTCCAATGATCGCATCTATGGAGACTATGCGTCTCGAAATTAAAACTGTCGTCGCGAGTGTGTCCGAAATAAAATCGTCGTCTTCGTCGTCTATCGCGTCCGCGCCTCAACAATTCGTTCCGTTACCGAAAATTCAGCTGCCCAGCTTCGACGGTAATCTATTGGAGTGGCGATCGTTCCGCGATATTTACGTTTCTCTCGTACATGACAACACCGGCATTGGCGATGCCGAACGGTTTCACTATCTAATGTCGTGTTTATCGGGCGACGCTCTCGCTGTTGTCAAGTCATTTCCGTTATCCGCGAATAATTATGTCCTCGCGTGGGAAGCATTGTCCGTTCGGTTTGATAATAAGCGCCTGCTAGCGTCGGCACACTTAGATAAGTTATTTGCATTCAAACCTATTGCACACCAGTCGCTACCAGCCTTGACGTCGTTTATCAACACGTTCAAGGAAAATGTAGCCATAATTAAAGCGCTCGGTGTCAACGACCTGTCAAGCTTTTTATTATTTCACATGGGATCCCGAGTTCTCGATCCGACGACGATTCAATTATTCGAATCCAATGCGTCGAATTCGACAATTCCGACGTTCGACGAGTTACTCAGTTTTGTTCAACAACGCTGTCGAGTATTAGAGAACATAAAAAATTCCAGTAAATCTGATATTTCAACGAAACCACACGAAAAATATAATACGCGTAATAAAACTGTTATATCGAAAAAATCAGTGTTTGCCGCCACCACATCTACATCGGTCAAGTCTAAGTCACGAGGTTGTTTGTCATGCGATAAGGCTGACCATAGTATTTACCGTTGTCCAAAGTTCAACGATATGACAGTTGAAAAGCGCCGCGAATTCGTAGCGGCTAGAAAATTATGTTTTTCATGTATGAGTCAGTCTCATGTGCTCAACGCGTGTTCATCAACAGGGGTGTGCCGCTCGTGCAGTAGTAAGCGTCACCACTCCTTGCTACATCTTAATACCGATCAGTCATCGGCCGTGAACAAAACTAATCAGAGTACCAGCTCAGGTCCTAGTTCAGGTCCCTCCGCCGACAAGTCAAGTTCCTTTTCAGGTGCAGCATGCACCAACTCCACGGTCGTCCTCGGTACGGCCATAATTCACATCAAGGACGCCTGGGACCAAATTCATTCCGTTCGAGTACTTCTCGACAGTGGGTCTCAAATTTCGGCCATCTCAAGCGACTGCTTCGCTCGGTTAGGACTATCGAAACGCCGTTTTAAATCCGACGTCGTAGGTCTCGCGCAAAGTCCAGTGAACCACGTGCAAGGTGTCACCAGGTGTCAATTTTCGTCGCGTTTTAAATCTGATTTGTTCCCGTCTGTTGAATTAGTTATTCTAAAACAAATTACCGGCGTCATGCCATCCACACGGTTACCGACAACCGTGCGTCAACAATATCGACACCTCCGTCTCGCGGACGAGAACTTCGATATTCCGTCGTGCATCGACGTTTTATTCGGCGCCGATATTTTACCTAGTCTTATCCGCTCTCACGCGGGTGTGGAGCACCACTCGGGTTTACCATCGGCCCTCGACACCCAGCTCGGATGGATAATCTTTGGTTCGTTTTCTACTCCGAGCAAGTCACCCCCAGTCACGCTGACCACCGCGATCGCTCCGCCGTCAATTGGAGATCTATTACAACAATTTTGGTTGGTCGAAGAACCCACCGCACCTACGTCACCCACCACGGAAGATCAGTGGTGTGAAGAATATTTTACCAAATCTACTTCGCGGGATTCCACCGGTCGATTCTGTGTCGCTCTACCATTTCGTCATTTGTTTGCGAGCACAGCTCAACAACAAGACACACCGCGTCACGGTCTCGGCGACTCGCGCTCCATCGCGTTGAAACGGTTTTATAACCTAGAAAAAACGGTTGGCTAAGGACTCCGAATTGTATGCTGCTTATCGTAAATTCATGTCCACCTACCAAACACTAGGACACATGGTACCGGCTCCGGAACCCGGTAAATATTTTATTCCGCACCACGCCGTGCTCAAGGCTGACGGTGACATGTCCAAAATTCGCGTCGTGTTCGATGCTTCGTCCGCCTCGTCCTCCGGTCGCTCATTAAACGATGTATTGTGCACCGGACCCAAACTTCAAATTGATTTACGTGACATTTTACTTCGTTGCCGTATGCACAGGTACATTTTGTCCGCCGACATCGTTAAAATGTATCGGCAAATTTTAATCCGTCAAGAAGACCGGACTTTTCAACATATATTCTGGCGCGACTCACCCACTGACGACCTCGTCGAATTCCAATTGTGTACTGTAACGTACGGTCTCAACTGCGCGCCGTATCTCGCCATTCGCTGTCTCCACGAACTTGACCGGCAAGACGGTCATCGCTTTCCACTTGCCAAAGACGTCCTTACTAGAGCTGCTTATGTCGACGACATCGTTATCGGAGCTGACACCGAAGAGCTCTTACTACGTCGGAAGGAAGACGTTGTCGGTCTACTACGCAACGGTGCCTGTATGTTGAGCAAGTGGACTAGCAACAGTACCACCGTTCTCGAGTCCGTTTCTCCCGATGACCGTGTACTCTCTATATCGTTCGATCCGCGCGAAGAACACGCCGTAAAGGTCCTCGGCCTGCATTGGGACACGAAAACCGACAAGTTTGCCTATCATACCCGGCTTGATCAAATTTCTTCGACGAAACGTCAGGTGTTGTCCGTCATTGCGCGCTTGTTCGACCCTATTGGCGCCCTGGGCCCTATGCTGCTGTGGGCAAAATATTTTATGCAACTATTATGGTGCAACAAACTCGGGTGGGACGACTTGATGTCCCCCGAACTGCAATCTATGTGGCAACAATTTTGCACTGAGCTTCCGCTCGTATTCGACCTGAACCTCCCACGTCACATCGACGTCATCTGTCATCAGGACATTCAACTATTGGGCTTCGCGGACGCATCGATAAAAGGGTATGCGGCCGTCGTGTATTTACGTCTCGTCAACACCGCCGGTGACATCTCCGTTAAATTCATCACTTGTAAAACCAAGGTCGCCCCTCTGAAGAGTGCCGCCGTCGACGAGTCGCTTTCCATACCTCGCTTGGAATTATGCGGGGCCCTGCTGTTGGCCCAGACACTTCATCACGTGCAATCTGTGCTGTCCACCGAAGTGTCTATATCTCGTCTGCGTGCGTGGTCGGATTCGTCAGTTGTTTTATCGTGGTTGACCACAGACCAAAAACAATTCAAAATTTTTGTGACCAATCGGGTCGCCAAAATACGTCAGCTACTACCGGATTGCGTATGGAGCTACGTATCAACGCTCGACAATCCCGCGGATCCCGCCTCTCGTGGACTCATGCCGAAATTAATGTTGTCCTCGTCTATTTATTGGGACGGTCCGGAGTTCCTAAGAATTCCTGAAGACCAATGGCCACCGTCTAGATTTATTCCGCTCGCTCCGGAGCAGCTGCCGGACACTCGGCCTAACGTCGTCGCAACGTTGGCCGTCAACGTCCATCCGTCTTCGTTGGATTTCATCGGTAAATTTTCGTCGCTCGAAAAAATGTTACGAGTATTGTCTTACGTTTCTCGTTTTTTATCTCATCGTCTACGACGGCAACCGATCCGTGTCGGTCCTATCACGTTTTCCGAGCGAGAAAGGTCCTTGTCGATTGCCGTACAGCGGACACAACAGTATTACTTTTCGGATCTGGTTAAAACGTTAAAAAATAAGTCTACGATCACCCCCCCATCTTTGGCACAATTAGCACCATATATCGACGACAACAACATTGTACGAGTGGGAGGTCGCCTGCGTTTTTCCGACGCCAGCTACGACGCGAAGCATCCGATTCTGTTACCGCGATCCTCGCACCTCACCGACCTGGTCATTCGACACTACCACTTGTCCTTTCTGCACGGCGGATCAAAGTTGGTACTATCAATGTTGAATCAAAAATACTGGATACTGTCTGGTCGCGCTGCAGTTCGACGTGTCATTTTCTCGTGCGTTCCGTGCACACGCCATAAGGCTGTCCGCCCTCAACCGTTGATGGCTGATCTACCATCTTACCGGGTTCAACCTCATCGTCCGTTTTCCCACGTCGGTATGGACTACGGAGGGCCGTTCCTCGTTAAGGAACACCGTCGTCGGAATGCACATTCGGTCAAGGTCTACCTCGCCTTATTTATTTGTATGTCCGTCAAGGCGGTCCACCTCGAAATCGTGTCCGATCTCAGCACTGACGCCTTCCTCGCGGCTTTGGACCGGTTCGTCGCCCGCCGTGGGATTCCGTCCAACCTCTACTCGGACTGTGGCACAAATTACGTCGGCGCCGCCCGTCAATTAAAATTGTTATTTCGCGACGCCAAGGCCCAAGACCGTCTCTCGACGCACCTCAACTGCACATGGCATTTCAACCCGCCTGCTGCGCCGCATTTCGGTGGCATTTGGGAAGCCGGCATCAAGAGCGTCAAATTTCACCTCAAACATGTCATCGGTCAGCAGGTGTTGACATACGAAGAATTCTATACGTTGACCACTCGCATCGAGGGCATTCTGAATTCCCGACCGATTACACCGAGTTCATCCGACCCGCACGACCTAAATGCGTTGACGCCGGGACATTTTTTGATCGGACAGCCGATCCACGCCGTGCCTGAACCTGACACCACCGAAGTCAAAATCAACCGTTTGAATCGTTGGCAGCTCATTCGGCAATGTCATCAGTCCTATTGGAAACGGTGGTCACGCGAATACCTATCCACGCTGCAAGGTCGACAAAAATGGTGTAAAGCGTCCCCGAACCTCGCCGTCGGCGACATGGTCATCGTCGAAGCCCCGTCTCGACCACCTACCGAGTGGCGTCTCGGCCGCGTCACAGAGGTCCATCCAGGACCAGATGATGTCGTTCGTGTCGTGTCCGTGCGCACTCAGGACGGTATCTACAAGCGCCCGGTCGTGAAACTCGTGCGTTTACCGGTCGAGCCCTGATCCCTGTCCTCATGTCCAATGTCCTCATTATGTAAAAATATTTTAATTATTTTTTTCTTTTTTTTTTTTTTTTTTTTGAGCATCAGTCTCATTCATGTAAATTATGTATTTAGTCTAGTGATGATTTATTTATGTATGATTATTATACCACCTATGTATATATGTACCTATAGCCTCGTATTGTTGTAATGTGTACGATCTGGACTTCAACGTCCATATTCCTGTCAGATGAGTTCTTGAAAGACGCCTGGGTCTTTCAACGCGGGGAGGAAATGTTGGGTACACAGTCGGCATATCAAATTTCGCGCGGTCGTGGTTGATACGCGTATGTCGCAATGTTGTCACCCTGCCGCCCCGCCGCCGAGTAGTGTGGCAGCCCATGTGGCAGCGAACTTTGTACCCCCGGAGAGGGGACGGTATCGTTGCGGTATAGTCGCTGCTGGCTGTACCCGCCGCCATATTTTTCGTCGTTTTGGAGCCGTCTAGGCGATCGGTCATGTTTTTGAGTCGTCGTGCACATCCGCATTGTTTTACCGTCGCGAACCGGTGCTCCGTCGCCGTCATTACCGTCTTGTTCCGAGCCGTCGATGCTCTCGTGTTGCACCGTGCGTCGTCCCCACGATTTTTGTATCGTCTCGACCTCTCGTGTCGCGATACGGTTGTTTTGTTTTTTCGTCGCCCGTCCGATTCTCGCTGTGCGACCCCGACCGCGTGTTACCCTCGTTACCCACGTGTTTGTCGTTCGAGCCGCCCGTGCTCTTTGTCATGTCACGCCGTGCGTAGTGTCGACATTTTGGATTGCTCGACCGCCTGTGTCGTGATCCAACACAACTTTGTGTATTTTCGTCGCTCGCCCGACTCGCTGTGCGTTTCGAGCCCTGCTCGACTCTCACCCACGTGTTCCGCCCGCCCGTCCTACGCAGTGCGAACCGTGTTTTAAGTAACTTGTTGTCGTTTGTGCCGCGTCCCTACGCCGCGACAATTGATGTTTTTCGCGTGACCGTTTCGAAGTCTCCCCTTGAGCAGAAAAAAACGAGTTCGTGTCCGCGTCGCCCAATATTTGGTTTATACATCCGCTTCAACCGTTCGACCACCGGTCGTACGTTCGCAGTGTCGTCGACCTATTCGTCGACGTCGACGAGAGTGCAAAGTGCCGCCAGCCCCGATTGCCGCCCGCAGCTACTACAACGTCGCATTGGGTCAACTGGAGCGTCATCGTCGTGGTATCATCACCCGTCGTTATCACTTATCAGGTCGTACACACGTGATTTATTTGTCAACAAACATCACCTTTGTATTTGTAATTTGTATTAATTTTTTTTTCTCTTGATTTATTGTTTACGCGATCGTTTGTGATCGCGCACTACTGTTACCTACTAACCCTAGCTTAAGTAACGTTTACTGCAGAACATTACAATAAATTGTTCTGTACACCTTATAGCAAAAAAACATTGTTGTCTGTTAGAGTTACCTTATACTCATCATCATATTATTTTCAACCAGCTTCCTATTCATCATATTCTAAATACAGTCCACTTTTTATCCCTTCCCACAGGGCTATCGACCTAGGACGTAAGTATCGTCAAACAGAACGGGTTGCGTGTCGGCCGCCGTCCGTGCGCGCACTCACACACACGCACACTCGTCACCGGCTTTACGTGTGCAGCCATCATCCGCACATTTGTCAAAAAAAGAGTCTATCTAGTATACAAAATAATTTTTTGAGATATTTATCTTTTAAATGTCACTTTGAAAGACGTCCTCATTCTGGATATATTAATATTAGTATTTTTTTTTAATATTTCTCCTTTAAATAGTAGATTTAAAATGTTAAATTTAAAATTTCTTTTTAAACTATTACCTACATAATTTAATTGATTGCCCAGAACTTTTAGAGCGTATTAATTTCAATGTAAATATAAAAAATTCAAGAAATAAACATCCTTTTTATTTATCTATTATTAAAACTAACTACATGTTATACTACCCTGCTATTATATTAATGTCATGTGGTAACTTTTTTAACAACTTGGACCTGTTCAATATGACTCTTAGTTCGTTAAGTTGTCATTTTTAGATTATAACCTACTATTATATTAATTTTAATCGAATTGTTATATAAACAATTGTCTAACTTTTAATTTCTCTATATAATATATATACAATATACATATTATATTCTTTTTTTTTCTCACTTTTTTTCTCTCGTTCTTATGTCATTTGCTTAATTTTTTTAGTATAACACACACCTATGACACTGTCATTATTTTTATTATTGTAAATTGGAATTTTATTCCGTTAATAAAATTATTATTATTATTATTAATATTGTATGATTGGTGGGCAGGAGTGACGATCTTTGAAAACTTGTATGTAAGTGTCACTTATATATGTCTACGGTTCATCGAGCGGTGGGGAGGACCATTGATTATCCAGCGTCGAGGCAGCTTGTATAAAATACCTCAAGGAGGTTGTCTGGCCGTCACTGTGCGATCTGGGTACCGACTTCTTGCTGTTCATCGGTCTTCCCGGTAAGTATTTCTCTCTTCCATCTTGTGTTACTGTCCCAATAACTGTTTGTTTTACTTAGGTTTTTTTCAGTTTTCTCGTTTGCCCTGCGTTTACAACATAGGCAACAGCACAATGAGTTTGAAAGTGGTGGTATTTATGTCGATTATTACAATAATTATCGCTATTCCAGCGAAGCTGTTCCCTTCGCGTCCCGACGAAAGTGACGTTTTACACGGTAAGAACCTATATGAATTTTCTCGTTTCGTTATTAGCTATAGAATTTAATAAATAATTGCTACTTATTATTATTCACCTCAATATATTACTGTTGTTATATTATAATACGAAGACGTTATTTTTATACGTTCTTAATTGTTTTTTTCATGCATTTACATAATAGGTTGCACTCATTTAATAAGCTGTATAACAATAGATTTACCTATTGGGAATCATTTCCTATATGATATTATAACTCCCTCTACTTTTTATCCCAGAATTCAACCTCTGTTTGCAAAAAAGTGGTAGCTGAAAATATATACTATTTTATCAAAAATCCTAAGCCTAATATATACACAAAATGATTAAATTTTTCTTTGAAATTCTACTTAAGTTAATAGGTTACCTATACAATATTATAATATAATTAGCATAAATTCCCTATAGCCTCCCAGCATTTTTTTTATTTTATTTTTGAAACAAAAAAATGTGCTCTGTGTACAGTAGGTTACAAGTGGGTCACTGTACAGTAGATAGTATTACATTTGAATTCAATGATATGATATTATTATACAAGAAAAACGATTCTGAGCGGAGACGGTATGTCAGTCTAGGTATACGACATATTATATACTTATCTATGGTATTAAAAAAAATTGACCTATAATAGGTACCTACCTATAATAAATTCCAAATTAATCATATCACAATATCCATTAGGTACTTATAAATTATAATGCGTTATACATCAACAACAAACCCTGATACTATCATAGATATATAATAGTGTACTTTAGAAGTTTCAAGTACATACGAATAATAAGTACAACAAAATAACTAAAATAGTTAGGTTTGGTTAGTAATGTCTAGGTTTTTTATTATGTAATTTGGTCCAAATTTGAACTTGAAATGACTATAACAATAAACTGTGTTTATGTACTTTTTAGATTTTTTCGTGACAGAATTAACTACTTACGTGGAATCTTGTTTTACATTTTCAATCCTTAGATATAAAAGTTGAACATTTTATAAATTTTTAACTACAAAAAAATTATTCAATTTTAAATTTGATAAATGTTGTCAAAATTCGATCTTTAAATGCTTATAAAAAAAAATTGTGCCTATGTATTTTTAAAATTTTTCAATTGCTATTGTAACAATGTATCAGGAGCCTTGTTTCAATTTTTACACTTTTTGGCCTAACAGATAAAACTTTATTGATAAATATTATAAATATTCGGTGGAATTTCCATGTACCTACAGTCATTCGTTTTTGAATTACAACAAAATAAGTATATTGCTAGGTACACGAGAAATCAAGTGAATATCCAATGTTGTAAAAATTTGAATTTCAAACACTCATAAAAATTTAATTTGACTTTCTTATAGACATTTTTTTTTAATAAATGTAGATAATCTTATAAAGAATCTTGTATTACATTTTCAAATCTTAGATTTAAAAAAAAAAATTTTGCGAATTCTTAACTCAAAATAATTTGCTAATTTTCGTGATTTTCCATATTTTGTCAATTTTTTAATTTAAATGCTTATAAAAAAAACTGTGACTAAGGATTTTTAATATTTTTCATCTTCCTTTGAAACAATATACTAGGAGTCTTCAATTAAATTTTCAAGCTTTTTTAACCAACAAATAAAATTTTATTGATATTTATAGAATAAAAAACTAAAAAAAATTGTAAACTGAAAATTTCACTAAACAGCTCAAAATAATTCAAAATATTTTAAAAAAGGCATGGTGTATAGAAAATTCTAATATAAATTCTAATTTAAATGATTAACTACATAAGTATTTTAAAACAAGGTAATCATAGTAGGTACTGATTATACGATGTGTAAATAAATAATATTTTGATTACGTCAGAAAATTGCTATTTTTTTTTTTTATGTCCTAATTTAATGAGCTTTAAAAATAAGATGACTCAATTATTGTGCGAATTGTGATTTAACCATCATTCTTAACTCGTTAATATGCAAAAAAAAAATTCGAAATTCGTTATAGGCGATGCGCAATAAAGTACAATGTTCTGCTCATGCATACCTATAAACGCAAAATTGTCACGGAAAGATGTCACTTCCGAAATAATGATTTAAACGAATTTTTTTTTACCATCGTTCTTAACTCATTAAAATACATTTTATGTTTAAAAGAAGTCAACTTTTAAAAATAACTTTTTGTTTGCTTATTTTACTACACTTTCCTAAAAATTAGATTACATCAATGTACGATACGTATGGTAATTTTTCCTCGTTAT